CCATCGCGGCGTCGACCACGACGCCCCTCGACGACTTCTTCGCGCAATAGGACGGGTCCCACGCGCTTTGAGGGATTGTCTCTTTCCGCGCGCAGCTCGCGGAGCGCCTGACCGCCTCGCTCGTGCGCCTGTGGAAGGAGTACCTGAGCGGCGTGAAGGGTTGGGCGCCCGCTGCGGCGTACCTAGGCAAGTCGCGCGGGGTGTACGAGTTCATCCGCACGACGCTCGGCATCCGCATGCACGGCGCGGAGAACGCGCACGACTTCAAGGAGGGCCCTGGGGTGGAAGACCAGACCATTGGCCAGGACATTTCGCTCATCCACGAGGCGATTCGGGACGGAAAGATGCAGGACGTCGTCGTTGGCTTGTTCGCTTGAGGGGCTCAGGGATCAGATAGAGGGCTGTACTAGTTTCTTGCATAGTTGACATGTCTTGTAATGCCGTAGCATGTTGTACCTGTACCAATACCAGTAGACCTAGACTGTAGATTCCAATGCATCTTCTTTCCAGATCACATAACCTTGACAACTCGTCCAAGTGGGCTCATGCACGTGCTGAGGGCCGAAACTCGCAGCGTATTCCCTTGACTCTGGACCTGAGGCAATCGAAGACAGTCAAATACCTTGATAGTCTGTATATGCATTCCTCTGCCCTCGCGCTTGACGGTTTGTATTCTCTCGGTAGCGACCATGAAACTCAGAGCCGGAATGACAGCATTCCAGTGTCAGCTTATCCCGGTTTAAATCCTCGGTTTGCACCTGGAACATCGTCTGTCATATTACAAAGTAGCTTGCTTCTATTCTCGGCACTCATTACAGGTTTTTTTACGATCAGGTGGAACAAAGACACGCTCCGTGCACCTGGGACAGCGTCGGCGTAGTAGGAGCGCTAGGCTACCGTTGCCTATTGCACATACACAACCGTAAACTGTGGCTCGGAAATTTAGCGCCATTCCCTCCGTATCATTGCATCGTACTGCATGCTAGCTTGCAACCGCGTGATGATGGTATCTTGTGGCTTACGACTAGTGCTCAAGAAAGGGGAAAAGGAACTCACCTAGACTCCACGGTCCTGGACGTCCACACATACCTTTACAGGAACACGAGAAATTGAGGGGAAGTATTTTGACTGTGCATCTTCATAGAGAGTTCAATACTTGCGCCTACTCACCTTGTGCGCCTATGTTGCATGTAGTTTCCATGGAGCTCAAACTTGAAGGTGTCGCGTTGAGCGGTGTACTAGCCTCAGAAGTTTTGTGCCGGCTTACTGTCACGGTATATTATGGCCTATCAAGCACAAGACATACCGTATAGAACAGCAGAACGCCGGCCTTGCCTATACATGTCAAAGCGTTCAAGAGGAGATCAAGACAGCCCAGGAGCAGCGTGCGATGGTGGAGGTCGACCGGTCAACAGCGACGTCAATAGTTGTCGACACGATCATGGGGAACAAGTTGTGCCTTTGAAGGCGCCATATACACAGCGAAAGTTGTCGTCCGAGCATCCGAGCCGCCGCGTCGAGGCGCTCACTTGAATAACATGCCACCATGAGGGGCAGAACGAGATCATGCTTACAGCGCAAGCAAAATCATAGGCTCTCTAAACAAGCACCCTCAAGCCGGTTAGCAGCTGAACCGTTCACGAGCCCGATAAGGTTGTCTGAGGCTTGGAACGGGGGTCCAACTCGAAGGCGGCTTTAACGAAGACTAGGGTACGAGTTGCAGACGTACCGCCCGAGGGGTACGATTGCGTACCTGGGACTCGCCTCTTACTGCGTTTCGGAGTACGCCCGGCAGTATCCCTGCCGTTCGCAGAACTCCCACCCCTAGAGCGGGCGGACGCCCCCGCATAGGTACAAGGGACTCTCTGAGGTGTCGGGTACATGCATGGCAGACATCTACGCGTAAGGGCGTCGTATGCGCAGAGCAGTTACCCTTGTAAACGGATCATGCTGGTACAGAGGGGCTTACAGTGGTACTAGTCCTGGCGGGCAATCATCATGTTGGTCACACCTCTACTATAATCTTCACGACACCGTTTGGTAGGCGTGTATTCATGTGTGGAGTAGGCTGGTGTCGTGTTACGTGAATGTGTGGTGCTAGCCCGTGCCTCGCAATGCGTCTCTGAAACTTTACTCTCTGCGACTAAGCACGTGTACTGACGTCCCCTGAACAGAGCGGCCCTTGAGCATACCCTCGCTCGATTCTCTCCCTGTAGAGCTCTTGCTCTGCATCTCCACATTCCTCCCTGTGCAGACGCTGTGCAGCCTCCGGCTCGCGTCGCACAGTTGGGACGCGTTCTTCCGCGGGCACGAGTCGACGATCTACCACCACGCCGCGCTGCTGCAACACTGTTGATTTGATCCACACCGTCTCTCGGATGCGAAGACTGCGCACCAGAGGCTGAAGTTTCTCCAGGATGCGCCGAATTGGTACTGCTACTGTAAGCCATAACTGATTCGAAGCCGTGTGTTACTTGTTTTATGTATGTGGTTGGGTTGTGAGACGCTAACGGCGGACGTACGCGCACACAGGCCAGATGCACTTCGAGTTGCAGCGGAGCTGGGGGTGTGGGACGCACGCACAAATTGCCACAGCCGCCATCCGTACAATGTGCACCTGCTATAGGTGGACAAAGAGCAAGGTATCCTGATCATGACGCACAACTTCGGCGGATTGACTGTCCTCGATCTCAATTCTCGACACGACGGAGGTTCTATGGAGGCTCAATGCAATGCGCTCTCCCTTCTAATTGGTATTATATGGCACGCAGACATACGTGCGCGGGCACACGCACTGTGAGTACGAGAACGGGTTCCTCATCTTCAATCGCCTCGGCTCCTCCATTTCCAATGACGCCCCAGGTCTGCTCGCCGTCGAGCGTTATTGTGACGAACATAGAATAGACTACGATAAGACTAGATTAGATAAGTATCTACGCGTGCGTCAGCCATAACGCGCACCCGACGTGGCAGGTCGCTCGCACGCCTACTGCTTTCACCGCAGATGCCCTCTCCTCTGGCTCTCCACCTTTGTTTTCAGGCTCGTTGAATTCGCCTACGGTCTCCACTCCATCACCCTACGTCTTGTTTCCGACCTCTGGCCTTCGACTTCTGTCTCCTTCCTCTTCAACCTCATCGCCGCCACAAACGTCTGCCCCTGCCCTGCAAGACCTCATCACAAACTTCCCTTCAATCAAGCTGGAGGAGATATTCGACACTACGACTGGCACGAGCAGTTCTGGAACACGCACGAGCAGTAGGTCTGTCTCTATCGCACGACACAATGTACCTCTCAATTTCAACTCCAAGCTGTTCCCCAGTTTGCCTATGAACATGGGCCCACATCTATTGAGCACCGATTCCGCCGATGATCGATGCTTTCCATAGCCTTCCGAGCTCTCCTATGAGGATCCCCATCCACCGATCCCCTTCCGCAATCATAGGAGCTTTTGCGGCTCTACTCCCGACCTGAAGCCTCCACGTCTCGTGGCCCCTCGCTTGTGCGCAGACCCGTGCATGCGCATGCGGCCACCCTTGCTCACTCAACTGCCATCCAGGTCCCTGCCCTCCTTGTCAGGTCACGACGTTGCACGTGTGCTACTGCGGCAAGGAGACAACCTCGTTCAGATGCCCAAACTCCGGCCAAGGGAGAGCGACTACAGAGCTATCTGGTCACCAGTTCGTCGGACGGAAGCTCAATCGCGGGAATCACGCCTGTCGACAGATTTACCACCTGGGCAAGTGCAACCCGTGCCTCATTCAGGAGATGGCGTGATGCTACTGCGGGGAGGCTGAGAACGACTTGGGTTTTCCAACGGGCAAAAGGAATAGTGGGTTAGACGCTTTGCCTGCGAGGTATGTCTATTTTGGCCTCTTATCCCCAGAACAACTCAAACCCATACGCCGCAGGCCTTTTGTCCGTGGCATTCACCACTGCAAGAAGTCATGTGATGTGCCTTCCCCAGCCCCAGTGCCTTGTCCCCGCTCCCCCAAGGTCGTCACATTGTCCCTGCGGCAATCACGCTCTGGCTCCCGAGTCCGCGTCCTTCCTTCCTCCAGACGCTCTCCTCACACGCACGGCATGTACCGATCTGTCCCCACCTGTGCGTTGACTTGCATGAAGCCTTTTGAAGGCTGCGAGCACGTTTGCTCCGCGGAACGCCACACAGGTCCCCCATGCTTCATTCAGATCATCCGCCCCTGCCGTTGCGGCTCGACGACGTGCGAGGTGCAATGCTCCGAAGACCAAGCTATGGCCCGTGCGTGCGCCCACAGCAAGAGCGGGCCCATGCGGGAAGCTACTCGCTTGTGGTTTACACCACTGCTCGTGTCACGTGGACATGTGCGACGACTGCTACTCTACTTGTGGCAAGCCTTGGAAACTCTGGTGAGTTATCTACGTCTGGTGGCATCTATCTGTGACGTGTTACTGACTTGGCATGCAGGCAACCTGCCCTACATGCGTGCCAGCTTCCTTGCTATGCTCCTGCCTCCTGTGACGAGTCTGGGCCGCGCCTCGCAATCATTGCCATCACCTGCTCTTGCGGCCGCTTCTGCCAACCCATCCCCTGCGGCCACTGCCTCTCAAACCCCGGGGGCCGCGAAAGCAGCCAGCAGTATAAGTGCTCAAACGAATGCGTCATCAGCAAGCGCAATGCGCGCTCAGCATCAACCCGGACTGCGATGGCCACGCCAACCAAGTCGCATACTTGGACGAGCTCTGCGCACAAACGCGAAGTTCTACGTGCTCATCGAGAAGAGCTTCGCGGACATCCTCACGATGGACAAGAAGAGTCAGATCCTGCCGCACACGCCCGAGCAGAAGCGCAAGTTCGCGCATGACCTCGCAGCTGTGCACCGCACGGACACCCAGGTGCTTGATCGGGAACCGCACCGGAGTGTGCAGCTCATCTAGCATGTCGAACCGCGCTGGGCCCGCTCCGCTCCTGTCGGCATCAATTGGCGGAGCATCTGCGGGGTTATCTGGCCTGTTCAAGCTCGTGGACCTCTGCTTGGCTGGAACCAGCCTGCAGCCACTGTCACGACACCTGTTGTGGAGAAGGCGGAGCTACCGCTTAAGACTATTCCCACAGACGCTGCATGAACGGAGAGATAAGTGAGTGGCACTTCCTAGTACGATCAGAAGTTGCGACTTGTAATAGCACGCATACAAACAAATATATTTTGCTGCATTAGTACGAGATAGTCGTCCAAATATTTGGAGGAGCACATATATTTATCTCCAGTGGAAGGAGCGTCTCGGATCTTCCTTAGCTGCCAAATATATTTGACCTGAATATTTGAACGGAATTTGGAAGGGACAATGTGTGGACGTGTGCTGCATTATGTGCCTTATGTGCTCAAATATTTGGCGAATATTTGGGGGAGGGGGTACCCTTGCTCCCCACATATGTCCCAAATATTTGGTATTCACCTCCAATATCTGGGAGGGGTGTCCCTCCAACCCTCTCAAATATTTGGAGGGGCCACTATAACATTTGGGCGAAATAATTCGCGTTTTACTATAAGTATAAGGATCAAAAAATTTATTTAGTGTGTACTGGTGTAGGCCAAGGATGCGTCGGGCTTCAGTGTCGGAAGTCGGGACATGAGCGTCGTTATCGGCAGGATGTAGCGGGGGATCCCAGAGTGACAACAATCGAGAATAGCGGTGAGCCTTACTTTTTGAGGGAGTGCGTTCAAGAACAACCTCCGGAGTTCCTAAAGCTGAATGATAAGCGAAGCATTACACACATGCAGCGAGGTGGTGCGCACATGTTTTACTATCAGGCGTTTAGAATCCTGATATTCTAGGTAGTCCGTGGGCACGATCACTAGAGAGTTATGACGTTAGTTGCGGTGGTGGATAGATAGAGGACAAGGATTTGCCTTCGTCGAGACCGTCTTCCTCGTCTTCATTCTGACAACCACGTCCAGAATCTGATAGGAGCATCAGCCTCAGGGGTAAGACGAGACGGTACTGAGGCCTCACAGTAGAACACCAACTCCGAACCCGGCCGAGCGAACTGCACCAAATTCTCAATCTCCTTTAACTGAGTACATCGTCAGATATATTCCAGATCAGATATGTTTCACTCACAATGTTTACTCGTGTGGGACGCAAGCTCGCAGTGGCGGAGCTATCGTTGTCCAACGTTATCGTAATGTTTTCCTTCTGGTATCCGTACTTATCTGGAGGATATAACATGGTAACGTTTGTGAGTCGTGCAGTATTATTGTGTAAGCTTACGGAGTAGCAAGTCATTGAATGCGACTAAGCCCTTGTGAGGCTCACCCAGCACCAATCGTTGTTCGCCGCTGCCGTAACCTATACCAATCTGGATGTGATGGGAGTTAGCTGATGCACACGGTTTATAAGGTATCGTTCGCACGAGAAGAGCTCTTCTGCTAGGAACGTTGCTGAACGTCTTTGAACGGCCCTGACATGAGGGCGACTGCATCCCAGCTGAGGATCATTTGAGATCTTGCCAGTTAGCAGTGACAGGGAATATACAGCTACGCACCGTGCACAGGATTGGGAAAGTCGGCAGTACTCTCCCGGCGGCTGTCATCTGAGTCCAAGTGAGCATCCGCTGCGAGGGGTTCCCGCCATAGCAGGTCATCAAATGTAACACATTCGCCGTGGCGTTGGTTACACTCTAGAGAGGAGCCCTGAAAAGGCGGTGCCGCCATTGCTATCTCCTTGCCGACATCAGGGGAAGCTTGAATGCGCCCCGCTGAGCGAAAGTAGTCAGAAACAGCTACGGGAAGGCTAGTGTTCAAATCGGACATACTACCGCCTTCATCCACGAAAATGGTCGGGGACAGTGACTCCAATGCGGCACCTAGATCGTTTGGCAGAGTCTGATTCTTTATACCACAGCATATCATATCAACTAATGGCCACGAAGAGGTAGCGTGGAATGGATGACTTACCTGGAAAAGACAGGTCAATTCGGCGTCGGAGGCACAAGCTGTCTCAGCGTCGGAGTGCTTCATTGAGAGCGGTGTAAGTCCTGAGTCGCATATGAAGTCCAGCCACAATCGATATCACCTTCAAGATATAATCGAGAACGAAATTGACAGGTTCGTACTCCTGGAGATCAGAGATGTCAGCTTGATGCTATGCGACATGACACAAACCTATCTGACCTTTTCACCGACGTCATCGATGTCTTCGTCATCCGAAGAAGAGGAAGAAGTCTCGGGCGCGTCGTCGTCGTCGTCGTCGTCGTCGTCGTCGTCGTCGTCGTGACTGAGATCGTTTGGACCAGCGGCTGCCTTGATGATCTTCGGGGGAAGTAACTTTCGGCTCTTCGATTTGTAGTAATTGAGAAAGATGCACTGGTCGCACTTCTCAACCGGATCCGATTCGCCACCCCACGCGGCTTTACGACTGGCCGGGCCGATCCGGGATTGGACGCAAGTATCGCGGGACTGAGACAACGATACTCGAAATTCACCAGAGGCGGAAGGAACGCCGCCCGAAACGACGAGCTCCGCGCTAGCGCTGCTGTTACTGAACGCAGCCTCGGCTCAAACTGACGTCTTCGTGAAACCGGAAACAAAGATGATGTCCTTCTCCAAACCGAGCCCGAGCTCGTCGTTGGCGAACGCAAGCCAGCTGGATAGATGTAATCTGATATATTGGACGATGCGCATCTTGCACTCCATGGTAGTCTTGTGGGCTGGGTCTTTGAGGACGACCAGCGCACCGGCAGCTTCATTACACTGATAACGCAAGTTCGCTGAGGCAAAGCCTCCTGTGGAACTGTAGATTTCGTTGAGATACAGAATGAGATAACACGGAATGTACGCACCTAACAGAAGCGCCAGCAGATATCAATACAGACTGGAGGCTTTTACTATGCAGATGCGTCTGCGTGATCTTATTCGGACAACGTGTCACCATTGGATTGCGAGGGTGGAACCCTCGAAGGAGGCGGGAACTCCGATTCTCAGATTAACGGGGTCGGTTGCGGAACTCATGGCGATGCAAAGGCAGCGAAAGTGGCCTTCCCGGATGTAACCAACGTCGGCGAGGCGAATCGCGCCGACATCAGGATCAGGCTCCGGACCCAGGGTGCGTGGCCATGGCAGAGGGGCATGAGTTGTTCTGCGTATGTGTCCCAGGGACCAACCATGTCGGTATAGACAACCATGTCGGGGAAAGTGCCGTACAAGAAAGAGACGTAGCGATGGGGGAAGATGAAGAGATGGTACAGGATAGGATACTCGACCGACGACCGCTTATGTAGAACCTGTGTTGTTGGCGATACAGAGCGTGAGAGTGGTGGAACCATGCCATATACTGTCTATTCTTGTGCGCGATGCAGAGAACGCACGCGCATTAAACACCCGTTTATCAGAGAAGGGAGTATCCTGGCTCACCTGCTCACGTTGTCCACAGACTCGCAGGCGTGCATCGCTGCAGAGAACACCCGACATACACGCTGTGTATTAAAGTATCAACCTGTCTTTTGTTTGGGGGCAGGTATTGTTACAAGCCGATTGCGCATATTACCACGTAGGTAGGACTCAG